TCCTGGTGGGTTCTTTCCAGGAACACCCTCTGCTCTTCAGTATTGTTTCTTTGACATATCTTTGTAGCTGGACTATAGCTAGATTAGATTTTTTTCCCAGGTCTGTATATTAATGACCTGAAGTGTTGTTTGTCTCAAAACAAAACACAGTGCACTCTATATGCTGAAGAGATGCTGGAAATATCTTGGCACCTTTTGGGCAGCTTTCTAAACTTTGTTCTGGCTGTGTGCAAACATCACAGACACTTTGGGTGGAAAGGCCACTTGCAAAGTAGAAGTATGAGCATTGAAACCTCTGTTCTTGGGGAAGGTGAAAGATAAGGACAGAGTAGTCAGTTAAGCCAGGAGGCTGCAAGGATAGCCAAGGTAACAGCTGAGCTGCTAAAGGCCAGCGAGACAGTTGTCAACAGAGTGCTAGGACAATTGCAAATAATACAAAGAAAAGAGGAGGTACTGGATAGCTGATGCCCTTGGCCTATTGTAACGATTCGAAGAAGAGAGATTTCAGTGACCAAATGCTGTAGAGAGGTGAGTTTGCTGCAGGAACATGGTGAAAGCAGGATTAAGACCAGTTTTAGGGGATAGGAGGTGGAATGGTAGGAGGAGATGAAGTTAGAAGGAAAATGGGATGTAAAATTCAGGAAAGGGATGGTTAAAGTGAAGGCAGACGGCAGGGGGGGACCCGGCAGGAGACATGGGGATGACAGAGTGCCAGGGAAATCCTGCCAGCACACCCAAGGTCAGCCCAACCTACAGGCCAACTGCCAAGTGGATGGCAGCACGTTGGGAGGCAGGGTTACAGCCATGCAGGGTTTGAAGGAGGTACAGGTGTAGAATGGCACAGAATGGCACGTCTGTGCAGTCCTTGGGTCCAGGAATACACTCTGGGACGTAGTACGCAGATTTAGGGAACTTGCACTACTAAGAGGCAAATTAAAGCTTTTCTCTAAAAGCAGCCCTGGAAATGCTGGACAGTGTGTTCACGCTGAGGATGCACTTTGCACTGCTAGCTTCTGGGGAGAAAACTTGTGCTTGGGGTACCAACTGTGTGCTGGTGTGTTTTGGCTTCAAATGCTTTGTGTGACCTTGTGCAAATCAATACAATCTAAAATCTAGCTGTAGACAGCATCCATATCTTTGTGCTTACTTCTAGTTCCAAAAATGACCATTCAGTGTCTGCTAATTTCAGTGCACAGTGAACTTCAATCAGAAAAGCTGTTCAGGAGGACAAATGTGGGTCTGGACATCCATTGGAGTCTCCAAATGCACCTTTAATAACAAGCTGTACTGACACCAGTGAAGATCCTGGAGGTCTTCACAGATCCTCTGTGTCTTTAAACCTCCAATATCATCAACCCCCAGCCCACTCAGTGCCCTGCATCCTCCCTCTTGTAAAACAAGGTCATTACACAAAGAGTATGGGGGTCAAATACACCTGCTAGTAGCACTGTGATGTGGGGTTATTTTAAATGAAAGGACCTAGGTCTTGGGTCCAGGAGGACAGCAACCCTAATGTGCACACACCTTACAGCTGTGTAATGTATCATGCACAAAGCATGTGGATGGGGATGGTTTTAGATCCTGGAGGAAAGGTATTACCAAGATGGGCATTTTCCTTGAAAGAAAACCTGTAGATCTGTTTGGTGGGGATGATTGCTGGGGCAGGTGAAGTTGAGCGTGCCTGCACGGTAACGTGGCCATTACCCCAGCGCCTGCACTCAGTGGACACGTGCTCTCTTGCAAATTGTGGCTCGCACAAGGCAGATCTTGTAGAGATCAGAAGCTGGAGCATGAATCGGGGGAGCCTGACTGGAGGATGCCCCATGGGGGGAGGCTGGGACCCTACCACATCCTCGTTACCGCTGACCTTGGCACGAGCGCTGCCTGCTGATGGATCGGCTACGGAGCTGGACAAGACCCTGGGGAACCACTGTATTATCTATTATCGTCCCATCAGTGCCTCCCCTGACCCCTCCCAGCTCCGAATGCCACAGGCATCAGGGAGGGAATAAATCTCTGTCTGATACTGAGAGAGAGAAGAGAGCGAGAGCAGGAAAAAGGAGAGATGAAAAATGTCCTTTTTATGACTCTCACAACAAAGCTGGCCACATGATTCGTAGCAAACATTTCTCTGGGAAAAGGGAGGGAGAGAACGGGGGAGAATCAGCAAAAAAGCAGAGCTGCTTCTCTCCCCTGGAAGATGCCCACGGGGAATTAATAGAGGGGTATGGGTGACCTTTGAAGGTAAATATCCCAGGAAGGGAAAGGCCTCAAAGCTTCAGAAAGCTCACTTCAGTGTCTGATGCTGCCTTGTGAAATGCTCCATGCAGCACACGTCCACCATGAACGGAAAGCAGGGGCATAAGCAATCTGCCGTGCTAGAGGGAGCAGCAGGGCCAGAGCGTGATTAATAAGGCACTAATAGCAACCACAGCATTTGTGTTCATTTCTATGTGGGGTGATCCAGGAGAGCTCGTACTTGTGAGCCTGGGGAGAACTCCTGACCTTGGTGTCTTTAGGAGACAGAAGCCTTTAGCAGCACAGCCTGGGGCCTGAGGAAGGGTTGAAGATACGTTGCCAGAGCTTGGGAAGGCCCCTGCACGTTACCCACTGACAGCTGCGAGACCACAGCCGTGTTCCTGTGACGGCCACGGAGTTGTTTGGGCCTTATAATCCCTCGTGCTGCTGTTCCCAGGGAGGCAGCCCAGCCCTGAGGCTGCACGCTGGGCACTAGCTGTAATTCCAGAAGAGCTGCAACAGGGCGGTGCGTGCAAACCGGGAGGGTTTGCGTTGGTGTTCTGGGCACTGTCCCAGAGCATCGCCATCATCAGGCAGGGTGGCTGCAGCCACTTCCAGCGTGATGAGAAGGCGGCTTTGCTCTCTGGCCTTCTCAGCCGTGCTGTCTGTGCTGTGCCTTGGGCTAGGGAGCGACATGCAGGCTCTGTTCCTGTTGAAAAACCTCACTTTGCCTGAGATGTTTATCAAAGTGGACATTGCTGAAGGCAAGTGCGTGCTTGGAGTCATAGAAAAAGACCCGATGCCACTGCTCTCTTCTTCTGCCCCTAGAGAAGTCTGTATTTTAGCTTTGAGTGCCTTCCCGATTATCAGCACTAAGAACACAGTTGTACAGGGCTTAGAGTCCGAAAGCAGAAACAACTTAAATCCATTGACAACCAAGACATTTTTAACAGGGCAGGTCTTGCTGAACCTGGTCAGCTGCGACTAGGGACAGGCTTGGGCTGGGGAATGCTCACCAAAGCTGGTATCTTTAACTTGCCAGTGATGGAAAACTGTGTTAAATTCCCACTTTTACCAAAATGGCTGTAACAACTCCTTGATAATCCCAGTAATTTGATTTTGTCTATAACGTGCTTTTAAAGTAAAGGGATAAATACAATCAGTCTGCATAAAAGGTAGCTATTAAGGAGCAGGCAAGTTGTACAATAATAACTTTAAATTAAAAGCCCTTTCTGACTACTTCTGCTGTTGTGGGTCTGCAGATTTTCCTTAAAACTTTTGAAACGTGTCTAGACTTCTTACAGGCAGCCATTTAACCTCCGTTTATGAAGAAATAAAGCAAAATTGATGTTGATTTTGGTCTACATTGGGGGATACTTTTGCAACATAAAAGCCCTTTTGCCTGCAATTTGCAGAGCAGCCCTGTCACATCGGTGAGGGCTGATACTGATAAAGATAAAGCTTTATAGCTGGGGCATTTGCAGCTAACAGCAAGCTAATGCTACATTTTCATTTTGATGCAATTAATGTTAATGTCTGCTACGAAAATTGTCATTAAATACCATTTTAAAATCCATTCAATTTGCATATGCAAAGCCCATTTACTATCATGTAAAATACACGGTGCTGTTCATCATGTCTTTTCTCTAGAATTTGTAGCTGTTATTTTTCTGGTAGTGATTATTATCCAGCTCTTAAAGTGAAACCTAATGTCTAGTCCAGACCTGCACAGAGCAAGAAAACCCTCCATGTTCCAGCAGCATCAGAGCTGTTTTGGAGCCTCTTTCAGAGACTTTGAGCTGTTGTTTGGGCTGGAGTCACACTGACTATTCTGGACCACTGTGTTCTCCAGCCTTGCCTTGTGCTCCCATGGAGGACAGGCAGTGGAAGGACCTAGAAGTCAGTCTAAGGTGCCCATGTTCTCCCCTGCAGACCCCTTGTTGCACAATTCCCCATTAGAAAGCAGCACAGCAGGCAGTGGGAGCTGGTAATGTGAGAGGGACGTTAAATGGGTCACTTCTAAATGCTGTACCTGTTTGAACCTCAGGCAGGGCTCATGTATGCCCGATGCTTTTGTAAAAGTCTGTTGGGAGACGCTGTGATGCAAAAGACCTAACTTGGTACAAAGCCTTAAACATCCTGTTGCATTGCAAGGGATGAACGGGTGGGCTTGTGCCCTTCTAGAGGGGTTGCTGGGAGAGCAGCAGGTACCAGCTCCCCTCCAGCCCTTGGGAGGGAGCTCAAGCAAGCAGGAGAGCAGTGAAAATATTCTTTGCCTCCATCCTGCTGTACTTACCAGTTTCTGCCCAATGCAGGGCAATGAACTAACAAGTGGAAGAGAGTGGAATAAATAACTTTAACTGATTCTTAACTGCACCAGAGTATTTCAACCAGTGCTAACAGGTAGAAATGTTGTTGCTCTTATTTTCTGGCCCTGGGAAGCCATTATTCTGGCTTTACAACTCTTCATGTTCCTTTAAGTTAAAGGATTTGGCATTGAACATGTTTTTAAGAAGTTCCAAGCCCTTAGTTTCACAGGTGAAATGAGGATGTGTTGTGGCATGTAGATTAGATTTAGGAAGTTGATTATTGACACAGAGGTACAATCAGACATGGAAGTGATGCTGTGACTCAGTTGGAGTGCGTCCAAGTTCAGGACACTTATGCTTTGGGGACTGTGCTAGCTGAGATGTGAAGCAGATGTAGATGTGAGGGTAGGAAGGGATAATATTCTGAGAAGGTCCCCAAACTTTTGCCCTTACCGTGTTGTGATGCCATAAGTAAAGTCTGCAGGTAGTTTAGGAGGACATTTCTTGAAGTAACTATATTCATCATTTTTGCGCCGAATGTCCTTGGCCTTGTAGTACAAATTAAATTCATGCGCCGTGGTATAACCGGCCTTCAGAGCACCACGGTTCATGGTGATGAAGTCTCGGGGCATCTTCTGAGCTAAAACAGTCCTGGGCTTTACTGTGTTCCAGTGGCCTATTGCTGGAGAAGGAGGGAAATGAGAGGCAAAGAGAAAAAGATCAGGAACTTCATATAACTCCTATTTGGGGAGGCAGGCTGTTTGTGCACCATGCACAAGGGCCTTGCGTGACTTGCATATATTTTGTTATGGCTTCACTGTGGAGTGAACTTTGTATCCTATCCCACTGCATTTCATATGGAAACCTCTCCCATCTGAATCGGATGTCTTCTCACCCTCCACCCTGGCTTGCTCAGCAAGTCTGATTTCACAGGGGAACTGTCCATGAGAGGACAAAGTAGGAACTCCAACAAAGTTATGAAAGTGGACGTGTATCACCCTTTGCAGGTGCCATATCCCTCTCTGCTTGGGCTCTGTGTGATTCCGTATAAGTTTCCAATACAACAGAGAAACTTTACTGGACACCAAGCAATTTGGGTGATATTAATGAAAGTGGGTAAATGTTCTTTGCCTCCAGCTTCATAAGAGGCACTGAAGAGCACTGGGAAAGAGAGGAACATCCCTACTAGCATTAGGACTTTGTTGCAGGTCTGTATTTTAGTGGTGGTGTCATACCTTCAGGGACTCCTCCATCTGTCTTGTGGATGTACAGCCCATATGAAAAATCAAAGCCTGGCAGGGTGTAGCAGTTTCTCTGGGGTTTCCCCAGTTCTGCCTGTAGAAGAGTGAAGTTAAAGGAGAAGCATAAAGACCTTTCCTGTTAAGCTAAAGCCCCTCAAAATAAAAAACTTGTAACAGAACATGGCCACAAGTACCAGGAGAGGATGAACCAGAGGTTTGAATCCCACTGCCCAAGCGAGTACCACAGTGCAAAAGGAGAACTCTCAGCCATGAGGCTTCACCAGAGCTGAAGCCTAAGGGATGCTGAATTTCACACAAGTTTACATGAGTTATAAAGCAGCCTAGCCTTGATGGAAATAGGGATACTGACTCAGCATATATGGACTTGAAGTCTCCTTGTTTGGTTAATCTTTCTTTTGGCTGGGAGGCTCAGCCATGGTGTCTGCTGGGGAGACTCTGCAGCTAGTCTTAGCTTTCCTTTGAGTTATTTCCTTTCCAAGTTGTGCATCCTCCTAGAAAACTGATGTAAACTTCCCCAAGCACAATCACATTGCTGCACCTGTCTGGGAATAATCAAGACACAAGGCATGTTGCAGGGGGAGAATACAGGGGATGAAGAAGGGGGAGCAGAGCCTGGGGTTTATAGCGCAGAAAAGAACTTGAGCTCAGTAACCTCCTTTCTATTTAGTTTTAAAATGAACTCTTCCCTAGCCCATGTGTGTCCCAGCCTGGTGGTGTCTGTGGGATTAACTGACCTCCCCTCACCCCTTTGTCTCTACTCTCCCATCTCCATGGTGAAGTCACTGCAGGATGTGTGTGTCTTGAAACCTTATTGCTGCTTGAAAGGGAGGCAGTGGAGGAGGGAAGGGGTGAGAGCCTGGCAGCCTGGGTCTGTGTTCCTGCTAGGGGAAGCTGGAGCAGGGTCAGGCAACAAGTCCCCTGGAGACCTGAGGCATGGTGTGGGTGTTCTGGGATAGGTTATTTTCCATGGGAAGGGTGTTGGAGGAGCTAGAGGGTTGTAGGGGTTGGCAGATCTTGTTGGGAGAATGGAAGTGCTGAAACCTTACTCTAATGCTTCTCATGGATGAATTATTGAACATTAACATTAAGATGACCGTTATTACACTCCAGAGTGAACGCTCTCTGGATCAGGAGAACCTGAATCAAATGTAGCCTTTTCTGCAGGGACTGAGTGAAAAGAGTGAGACTGAAAATGAACCACCTCCAACTTGTCGCTATGGCAGGTTGAGGCTGTACAGTGGTCGATAAGGGACACTGCTTACTGAAGCTGCTTGCATAGGAACATCATCCAAACCCAAATTTATGTTCTGCTCTCAGCCAGCACCATGCAAATCCTGGCCAGGGTCTCAGAGCAGCCACAGCTCTCCTGTACACTGCCAGCCTGGTGGCCCCTTTCCAATGTGCTGTTGAAGGGTGCTCACCAAGTGTACATGATGCTGCCAAACAGCTTGAGCTGTTCTGCATCACTCTCAGCTCAGGCAAAACTCTCACTGAGCCAGTTTTGCCTGGAGAGCAAGGGCTAATTACCCCTGGCCAAAACAGGCATCTTTCCAGAGGGGTCTGTGTTGCGGTCTCTAAAATTGGCTCATAATTCCTCAAACTTTTTCAGCTAGAACCATTTTTTTGTGCATTTGGTTTGGAGTTTCTCAGCTCATCTCTATGTGCAGCTACACAGAAACTTAAAAGCACGCAGTGGCTGTGGCACCGGACTCCTCACCAGCGTGTCCAGGGGTGAGATCATGCCGGCTTGCTGGAGTGACCTGTCCATGTTGTGACATGTCTGCTCCTTCACAGATGCTGGTAAGCTGGCTGTCAGCTTTGCCAGTTTGTGACCATTGGGCCTGTGAACCAGTACAGTGATGCTTTCAAGTAAATCCAGGGTCTTGCTTCTCAGGTTTGGGAGGGAGGTGCTTCATCTTGGTCCCGTTAAATCCATGCACTTGTGATGCTATAAGGCAGGTGTGGTATTCCCGTGACTCTCAGGAGCACAAGTTCACCAGAAAATGAATTTTCTGGATGGACTTGCTAAGGTCCTTTGATAGACTTGAAAACCCCAACAGGCTCCTTGCCTTGTGCGAAGCTACGGATTCTTTGTTGTAAAAAGACCCTTTTGAAAGCAATCGACTTAGCTGCCTGATACAACCTGTGCATAACATGGCTGCATTCCCCCAGCTGCCTCCTGTGAACCACTAGCAGAGGAAGGGACTGTCCCTTGCAGATGTGTCCAGCACCTACTACGATGGGAGTGAGCAGGCTTTTAGTGCTACTGCAACTGAAATACCACACGGCAGTGCTAAACCATATGTGCATGCTGTGTGTGAGTTAGGGAAGCTCGCTCAAGGCATATAAACTGGTGCCAGGGATGATAAAGTAGCTTTCGTTGCTGATCTATTTCTCCTGTATTTACAGGCATTTGTATGCTAGCTATTTTTAGATTAGTTGTCACTGATATACAAGGGAAATGGTGTAACGTTACTCAGATGCATGAGAAAAAGCTTTTTCCAGGGATCATGTTCCGATATAGGATCAGCTAAGTGAGGTCAGAAATCTGCTATGACGGCGAAGGTGTGGCAGATGGGAGAAAATTGCTGAGAAACTGCAGGAAAGGAGAGAGGTTTGTAACCTGTGGCAAAGCTGCTTCCAGAGCTTTGAATGCAGAACTCTGTAGAATGGAAGAAATGATGGGATTTAAAGATTCTTTTTTGTAGAACACCTGAAGTTAACACAGTTGGGTGTTTACTCCATCGCAAAATGAGTGCATGCTGTTTCCTTTTATGATCAGGTGGCATTTTACAGTCACTTTGCACTGAATAAATAAAGCTGAAGGTGCTGGATAATTAATTAAAAAAAAAAAAAAAAACAAACAACAAATCTGGTCCAATATGTTGAACACAGAGAAAACCTGTGCTTGAAGAAAATCAATGGACTCGGAGGACTCTGGTTGTCTGCCAACATCTTTAACCCACAAAAGCAAAGAAGGGGAATGAGTTAGCCAGAATGAATCTTCCTCAGTACAGTCCAAGATTACAGCCTTTCTCATTCACAAATTAGCAAAATGCTGTTGCAACCTCATGGGCTGGTTTAATTTGTTTGTCCTGGGGCATTGTAGGTGTGCTGTGTCACAAAGTGGTGGGGAGAGCAAGTCAAAGTTGATGCAGAAGGTCCTTTTTACTTCCCCAGCTCCAGCACGGTTTCTGTGTTCAGGTTTAGCTTGTCACAAAGCTGCTTGGCTGGAATACAGATCTGTCTGACAGCTGTGCCCATCAGCAGACAACTTCATTAAACCTCATTAAGATGTCATTTCTCTGCCTTATTTCCCACCTCTTGGCTCTAATTAAAACCGTCTCTCTCTGCATCCCAGGCGGTCCTAATTTTCTCTGGGTACCTTCTGCAAGTTTTCTCCCTTTACAACCTCAGTGAGGGAAATCCGGCATCTTAAATACTGTTTATCCAGCCCATTCGGAAAAGAGAACTCTAGACTTTTTCCTGAAGCATTCCCAAAGCATCCTGCAGAGATCATCACCTCCTCCCAGGGCTGCAAGAGATGTGTGCTGAGGCTTTGTTTGCGCTCTCAAACTGTCTTTAAGGACTCATCTCATGCATTCCTCCTTTCCCCTTGGACATGATAATTTTCATGGTTGAAGCAGGTGTGTCTCAACTGGGTTTGGAGGGTGCCATGCTCAGACTGGCTGCAGGGCAGCAGCGGAGGTGTTTGATCGGTGGGGATACCCTGGTCGGCTGAAGAGCAAACAGTGTTGGGTGGAGTGAGCTCCCTGGCCTTTGACAGGTAGTTTCAGATCTGTGCATCACCGGGTTTGAGCCCTGTTTTTTTATTTGAGTGTCTAATGGTGTTGGAAAATTTTTGTTATAGGAAGAGGGAGGCTCAGAAATGTGTCTGTTTATAAGAGGTGGGTGCATTGCAGAGGTGTAAGAAAGTACAGAACTTTTAAGGATTTCAGGTTTTGTTGCAAGACTTATTTGTGTTTCATCCCCTGGTATTTACGGCTCATCAGCACATATTGCAACAATTTTCTAAAGATGACTGAGACCGCGAGAGGGGTAGGAGACATGTCAATGTGGAGCGGTACAGTGAGGGATGGAGGCATGGATTTTTAATCCCTGTGTCTGAGGCAGCTCTTCACTGGGAGGGGATGCTGGGCAAATCTGTGAATCCTCTCTGCTTGGACTCAGCCAGGGCTGCCCTGTCCCCTCCTCGATGGCTCTGTCCTGCAGATGCCTGCAAACCCCATGCCAGTGCATTTTCAGCCTGCCAGGCCCTGCTTCCTTCCCTACCTTCTGTTCCCCTTTTCATTACACCCCCTTGTACAGTAAAGCCTCCCGTCACGCTGCCATTACTATTATTATTGCAGATTTACTGCACTTGCAGAGTGAAGTGATTGCGGTGACAAGGCCCAGCATTTTTCCCTCCTTCCCCCCGCGACAGCTTGAAATCAAGCCCTTCATTTGCATTTACATGATCTTGCTGTGCAGCTTATGAGATCGGGAGATTTATTTGCTACTTAGCTTGATGTTTGATTACACTCTAAGAAGGCAGTGAGCTACAAAGTGCAGGGATACATCAGAACTGAGCTACTGAAAGCCTCTGGGGGACAGTAACTCAACATCAGGTTTAGGTAGATGAGAAAGGGAATGTTCAGTGTTTTGAAAAAGGCAAATTTGATCAGACTTTTTATAAAGGTGGAGGGGAAAAAAACTTACTTTCCCTCTCTCACAAAAAATGGTTGGGAAAACAAGAATGTTGTTATACAGACACACCTGAAAATCTGGATTTGTTGGTGCAGAAGAAATCCTAGCAGGGGCTGGTGGCTGCTGGGCTGCCTGCCGCTAACTGCTTGTAACTTCCACTCCCAAGAAGATTATTAATAATAAGTTGGCACTTATCTTTGAAGATTTTCATAAAGTCAAAGGAAGTTTTGCTTGATGGAGGACTACAAAATCTGGCCCTGATTTATTAAGCTTAAAAACATGCCACTGAGCATTAACCCTGCTGTAATACTGGGGAAACTGAGGCAGGGAATTAATGTGCCCATGCAGGACAGCAAAAGGAATGGT